TATTTTGTGTTTTTGTCTACTAACAAAAAAATTATTGGAACAGAGTAAAAAGAACTTTTGAGGGTATCATTAAATATAAAATTATTAAAAACACACTCTCTCTTCCTTTTATTTAACTTTATACATTCTCTTTCATCCTTTTATTCAACTTTTATTAATTTTATATTTAAACACACCCCAACTAAAGTTTAAACTTTCTCCAAAAGTATCAACCCATTGATACAAAGACACTCTCTCTCTCCAAAAGTATCAACTCATCTCCTCTTTTTACTCAAATTTTATTAATTTTATATTTCAATACACTCCATTATTTCAACCAAAAACACTCTCTTCCTTCCTTTTACTCAAATTTTAATAATTTTATATTTAATGATACCCACCAAAATTCACCAATACGGATGCCCTTAGTCACTACTAGTAGAGTAGTAGTATGTGTTATCTAGTAAGATTGCTCGGATGTTTTTTTTTTCCCTGCTAAGAATATAAATTTAGCTTTTAAATGAAATCAATTTAGCTTTACAAAAGGAAACATAAAACTATAAAGACGATTCCATGGCAAAAAAGTAAAAACATCGAAACATAGTTCATTAAAGTTTTCAGTCCGTCTATTCAACATAAACACGAATGGTAATAGAGTTTGACGAAGTGATGACGATATTTTTCGTTCTTTCCAAATCAGATGGAGAGTTGAGAATGCATAGCTAACCAAGAGCCGAGAAGACTACTAACCATAGCAATAGAAGCTTTTCAATGGATGCTCGAGATTGTGTCGTCAACGGCAACGTCTTCCAATCTCTCGATCACGAACTCCTCTAGCGTCCCGTGGGAGCGGATGGAAGAACAATTCCATGAGTTAACAACAAAGAAGAAGCCTCGCGAACCATATTAGTGAACAATGCAAGCTCCCCCTACTAAATTCCCCTGAAGTCAGCTAGTTCAGAGCCGGATAAAACCACTAGATACTACACCGAATGCAATGGTCTTACTAGCTCCTCTAAAGCACCGATAAGGAGCATCCAAACCCAACAGCTAGGCAGC